TGGGTCAGTAGTACTAACTCACAGGGCTGGTGGTAACGGACGTGACTCCTATGTGCGGAGCTTAGAGGCGCAGCTGGCTCAGAGCCCCCAGCACACCTGGCTTTCCTGTGCGGGGCTCAGCCCTGCAGGGGGGCGGGTAACCCTCTGAGCGGCCCACAGGGCCCTCCGCTGTCCTCTTTCCTCCCATTGTTCCCCACTTCCCGCGCCTGGCCTGTGGCCTAGATCCTCGGGAGGGCGAACCTTTTCCCCCCGCAGGTGTCCTTATTCACTGAGAATGGTGACAGTCGGGGCGCCGGGCACGTGTCCTGAGGGAGCTCACCTCCAGGGGGGCTTCTGCAGCCCCCTCTGTCCCTCCGCCCCAAACCCAGGAGGTGTTTTGATGAGGGGCCAGTGTTCATATTTTATCTCAAAATAACCATACACTTGCCCTCACTGTAGAGAGGGCGAGAAACATCGGTTGGTTGCCTCTCACATGCTGGTGACCCCTTGGTTCACAGGCCAGTGCTCAGTCCACTGAGCCACACCAGCAAGGGCCTCACTCTATTTTTTTAACATTAATTTTTTTAATTGTGAAATATATATAAAATTTACCATTTTTGAAGTGTACAGTTCCGCCTGCTTTCACTCTTTATTTGAGGAATTTAAAATGCTTAAGGGAAACTGCTTGTGAAAGGAACTTACACCCCACCCCAGAGGAAGTAAGAAATCTTCCCTTTAGAGTCTAACATACTTGGCTAGAATGTAACCCCAAATACATACATATTATGCAGTGTTTTAGATCTTAGTTTCTAAACACAGTGAGTGTCCTGTGGCTCCAACCAGCTGGAAAAAGTTGAAAACTGAAACTCCCGACCCATATTCTAGGTGTACCTGACAATTTACTCCTTATTGATGCTAACAATCGCTGCTCAAAACAGCTGAGCGCTGACATTTTCTGCTGAAATACAGACCGAATTCAGACTCTTAAGGGCACTGCCTGCAGGGAAAGGGCGGGGCTTAAGGACAAATGGTCCTGAGTCCACTGGCCAGATCAGGAGTGATCAGAGCCAAGGAAGGAAGGAACAGGCTCCAGCCGACTCCTGAGAAGGTGAAGGCCGGGGCTGAGGGAAGAGTCCCTGCCGGCGGGTGTGCCCGGCCCCCCGTCCTCCAGAAGCAGGCGGACCCCTGTCGTGCCTCAGACCCGCCCGTGGGGTTGCTGACACGGTGCTCACTCGGTGCTGAGCTTCTGCCACAGCATTTGAATTTATTGCAGGCAACTCAGCGTTGATGGCAGGCAGGTGTCCTGCCCACCCACCCGCTCCACAGGGTGATGGAGGACCTGGTCTTCTCCCCAAAGGAAAGTCTCTCTTGGCCTTCGTTCTTCCTTTATCCTGCCGGAACTATGTGCCCTGGCCACTAACACTGGTCCCAGCACAAAACCAGAAGCTCCAGAAGGGCAGGGACCAGTCTGCCTTACTGTCTGGTGTGGCCAGCCTGGCAGGGCCTGATGTGTACCAGACGCCAGCACTCCTTTTTCTTTTTCTTTTTTCTTATTCTGAAGACTTAATGTTTGTTTGTTTGTTTGTTTGTTTGTTTGTTTGTTTGTTTGTTTGTTGGAAGGGAGGGGAAAAGAAAGAGAAACATCAATGTGCAAGAGAAACATGGATCAGTTGCCTCTTGAACACCCCCAACAGGGGACCTGCCCCACAACCCAGGCGTGTGCCCTGACCAGGAATCGGACATGTGACCTTTCAGTTCACAGGACAGTGCCCGCCGCACTGAGCCACACCGGCCAGGGCCAGTGCTGCCTCCTGCAGGAATGGTGCACGCGCCCTCAGACATTCCAGTTCGACCCAGTGCGGGCAGGGGCGCCTCGCGGGTTTGTCTGTGGGTTCTCTCCGGGAGAGCCGTCGGAGTGGCGCCGCAGAGTGGCCTGGAGCGCCTGCCGCCGCCTCCACCCACGAGCCATAACGTGGAACAGCTCGCTGTCCCCGGGACCTCTGTTTTCCGTGCCGTAAAGGAAGTTGGAATGGGAGATCTCCAGGTGCCTTCTGTGCCATCAGGGCCCTGAGCCTCCCTCTGGGGCCTGCTGGGCGTGAGCACACTTAGGTGATGTGGTAGAGAGAGGGACATGGTGGTGGTGATGGTGAAGGTGATGTACTAATAGTGGAAACTTAAAAATAACCAGAGTCAGGAAACCTGTCACTTGTACCATAAAAAGGCACTGAGTTCTGACCAGTGTGGCTCAGTGGAGCATCGTCCCATAAACCAAAAGGTCGCAGGTTCAGTTGTGCGTCAGGGCACATGCCTGGGTTGCAGGTTCGGTCCTCCGACCCCATGTGTGAGAGGCAGCCAGTCAGTCTTGCTCTGTCCCGTCAGTGTTTCTCTCCCTTTCTCTTTCTCTAAAATTGACAAGTATGTCGTTGGGTGAGGAGTTAAAAAAGGCCACTGAGAGAAATGTTGGGGTCATCTCCCAATCTGTACCACTTTTTCTTCGCTAGAACTTAGCCAAAAGGCTGAGAAGTAATGTGCTGCTTTGTCTCGAAACTTCTCTGTCTAAACCCTGTGCTGCCGTTCGTCCCACTTTCCTTCCTGCGTAGTGAGTGCCTGCTTCCTGCCGCGTCCTTCCTACGCTCACGCTCCGTCAGCCCGCACGACGGTCTGTACAATGAGGGGCTGAGGTCGGGCTTGGGAGCTCGTCCCAGGTTACTCGTTAAGAGGCGGAGGCCACTGCGCTCCCACTTTTCATCCCGATCCACGTCCTTGTTGTTTTTACTCTGTTTACCCTTTTTCTAGGCCTGCCACTGGCACCGAACTACAGAGGTTTGCCAGCTCCTAATCTAGACAGTGGGTAGACTTCTCCTGACGTGCACACGGAGCCCCGAGGCTGCCCACCACACTCTAAGCCCCTGCAGCCTCTCATGTCCCTGGGCTCAGTGAATGCGTCGTAGAGCAGTGAGTGGAGTGTTTGCACGGAGGCCAGATGACCATGTCTTGGATTTTTTTTTTATCACCTGGGGGCTGGACAGGACACCCATCAGGATCCTTCCTGGACATATGACCCTCTGGTGTGCACAGGCACTCGGCAGCTTCTCAAATGTATGATGGGATCTTAGCCTTTGTCACCTCGCCTCTTCCCCTTGCCTTGCTCACGACACCTGGCCAGGTGAGGCTGAAGAAGACTTGGGTGTATAGTAAGAATTTCCTAATGTCAGAGTTGGAAAGAATCCTTGAGACCCTGAGGCCATTGAGTCCAGGCCATCATATGGTGTCCGAGGCCTGGAGGACAGAAGCGAAGTTGCCAGGGTCCCCACTGCTGCTGGCAGTGTAGTTTGTGCACATAACGCGGTTCCTCTGCGCGGCGGCTGCTCGCTCATCCATCAGCTTCACTGTTGGTCAGAGGCTGCACCGGCAGGCTCAGGGCAGTGCCCAGCACAGCGCGTGTCTGACACACGCCGACGGAGGGGTGGTGTCTCCAGAAGCCCCGAGGCTCTCGACTGTGTGGTGGAATCCGCTTGCTGTCTTGGCTGTGATATTGATGACGTGCTAAGTAAATAGGCAGGCTGTCCATTGCTTAGCTCCACGATGGGACTGCCGCAGTCTTCTCTGGTCCAAGGATTTCCAGGGGTCCTTCCTGGCCCCTGCACACCCCTCCGCGGTCCTCCGTTCCATCTGAGAAGTTCCGTGGTTGTCAGCAGACTGTCAGAGCCTCAGGTCGGCAGGAGGAGTCCAGACCCGGCGCGGATGCCATTCCGCCCAGAGCACACCTGGCCACGAGCGGGCTCTCGAAGCTTGTGCCCTGCTGCCCTCATGGTGGGTCTGACTGCCCCTCCCCATACTTCTGGCTTGGCTGCTTTTAACTCCTGGAGAATCAGCTGGAAGACCCCCAAAACAGACCAGGCCTGCCTGTCACTCAGTTTGCGTCGGTGCCATGGATGCGTCCAGGTTTGGCTGCAGTGCCCTCTCCTCCTCACCGAGCCCCACCCCTGAAAGGCACGGCCTCTTCCCACCGCCTCCACATCTGTGTCCATGCTGGCGCTGCAGCAGCCCTGCCGTCAGCCGGCAGAGACGTGCATCTCGGGGGTTTTCAGGACTCCGGATCATTGAGAATCCGCTTTGCTAGGCCACTGAGCCATGGCTGAACTCAGCACATGGCACGAGGCAGGCGCGGTTGGAGTGGTCGTCCCGGCCAACAGCCCAGTGCTCTCCCCACAGTGCCAGGGTAGGTGGAGAAGTGGGAACTACCTGCTTGCCCTGTGTGGCCCCCAGAGCCTCCCTGGTGAAGCCCGTGCATCTGCCCGTGCCCAGAGCCCCTCCTTGGCTCCTGTCCCCAGGCGGGAATAATTCACATTTGAGGTGCCAGTTAGCAGGCTCACCAGGTGTCAGGTTTGGAAGGTAGAAGTGCCGCGGTCTCTTCCTAAACAGTTCTGCCTTGCCCTGTGTGCTAGCCTGGCCACGGCCACCGCACTGCTGGCAGGGTGCTGCTGCTTCTATGGCCCACCGTCATCCAGGAGCTGAAGGCCAGCTTAGGGGCTCAGTGGGCCTCAGTGGCCATTTGTCCAGTGAGTTGGCAAGACCGCCGGGCTCCACACAAACAAGCTTTGCGCTCAGAATCTATAAGCTCAGGATTCATCAGGCCCTGCCTGCCCCAGACTCACCTGCTTCCCAGACCCTCGGAGCTGTGAGAGGGGTTATCCCTTTGCTCACCCTACAGCTGAGTGAGCAAAGCAGGCCCTCAGTCCAATGCCCAGAATCCCACCTGCCACCCACAGACCCTGTGCCTTCGTCCTAGCCTTTCAGAGGGGCTTCCTCCTAGAACCCCTCCAATGTGGAAGGAAGGAGGTTCTCGGGAACTGGGAATGAGTGGCGTGCAGGCCCGAGACCCTGCTGGTCAGCAGCAGGTTTTTGGCTTCTCCCCAGTGCTGGCCAGCGGCAAACCGATGTCCCCAGTATCCCAGTGGGGCCTCCCCACTGCAGGCAGCCGGCTGAGAGCCAGTTTATTTATCATCTTGTTCTTCCAGGAAGATGATGAGAAGCTAATTGAGGAAATCCAGAAGGAGGCCGAAGAGGAACAGAAAAGGAAGAATGGAGGCAAGTGCTCCGTCCCACCCTCGCAGGGCCGGCACCCGCGGCGTGCAGCCGCTTGGGTGACTGTCCACACGCAGCACGTCCTGCTTCCTCTGGGAAAGCCATAAAAGCTTAGGTGCGGTTTTAGTGTTTCCTCGATGGCAGGAAGGTCCCAAGGGGTAGGTTTCAGCTTAGGAAGCAAGTAGCAGCCAAAAAGACAGAAGGCCCACCCTGCACTACCAATGAACGAAGTGGCATTTCTGCGGGCAGCCATTCAGGCCCTGACTCTGCAGGGGAGTCTCAGAAGCTCAGCCTGTTCTGAACTGAATCAGTTCACCACCTTCCAGGGTGGTCATAGTGGGGTGTCAGACCGAGATGGAAGGTTGGTCTTGACCTTAGTGACAGCTGGGGTTGGGGGTGTCTGTGCTTTAAGGGGCCTCACTGTGGCCCAACCAGCCCTCCTGTGTGCACACAGTCACGGGTTCCTGGTCTCTCCACCGCCGCCTCCTCCTCCTGGCTCCCAGCTCCAGCTCACAGGCAGGTGGGACTCACGTCAGGGTGTGCCCCCAGGGGCAGAACCAGACCTGGGCATGGTCGGCTTTCACTGTTCTCTAATAAACCCTCTCTCCTTCCCAGAGAACACCTTCAAGCGCATCGGGCCTCCCTTGGAGAAGCCTCCAGAGAAAGTCCAGAGGATCGAAACGCTGCCAAGACCTGTCCCACAGAACTTGCACCAGCCACAGATCCCCCCCTACGCCTTTGTGCACCCGCCCTTCCCCCTGCCGCCGGTCCGGCCCGTATTCAACAATTTCCCCCTCAACATGGGTCCCATCCCAGCACCCTATGTGCCTCCTCTGCCCAACATCCGGGTCAACTACGAGTTTGCCCCTGTCCACCTGCCTCTAGAGCACAACCTGCCCATGCACTTTGGCCCCCAGCCGCGCCATCGCTTCTGACACCTGCGCTGTGCCCACAGCACTGTCCGATCCCTAATAAAGCTGAAGTGACAAATGGTGCCGTTTGGAGAGAGCGGTGAGGCAGGAGTGCCGCCGAGGCCGGGCCTGCAGCTGCTCCGGTGCCCGAGGGCCTCCTGGGTGGCGCCCTGCTGCTCCGGGCCCAGTCGCTGGTCCCAGCAAAAAGGGCAGAGCGGTAGCCACAGGCCCAAGAGCACCACTCAGGTGGGAAGGCTGCAGGCCGTGTGCCCCCTGTGCGGGATGCCACGGTGACAGCTCAGGGTCCTCTGCCCTCCTGGCCCACTCAGACGAGACCATCTTGCACTGTAGGTTCTGTTCTGATTTGTCCAAGGCGTTCGCTGTTTCCTTGGGGTTCACTGGCCCTCCACGGCCCACGGGGTGCTGCTCTGTCTCTGGGAAGGCCAGTGTGCTCCAAGTCAGGCGGCTCTGTCACCAGCCTGGCAACGAGCGGCTTCCCTAAGGTTGGTGGGGGCAGTGGTGCCCCCCCACCCAAGAAGCTGCCCTGCCAGGTGCTCTGTAGGCCCAGCAGCTGCCTTTCTCAAGGTTAAGTTGTTCAGCCGTCTGCGTGAGGTCCCTGCCATGTTCTCAATGCCTTTTCTTATCTAGCCCCAGCCTGGGGTTTGGGCCACTTCTGAGGCTTTGCCCCCTCCCCGGCCCCCCACTGTGGAATGTCAGCCCCCCGGGCCGCAGAGCAGAGGCCTCTGCAGGACTGCGCCTCTGTCTCCCTGGGTTGGCCTGTTTCTGTTGCTGTGGCTCTGAGGTCGGTGGGGTCCCAGGAGCTCAGCACAGCCACGACCTCCCAGTGAGTCGAGGCCTGTCCCTGACATGGCTCGTGCTCCTACCGCCAGAGGCCTGCACTCCCCAGCCTGCTCCCTGCTTTTGGGACCACACGTTGCTGTCTGCTTACCCACTGCTGTCAACTTCTTAGATGTATTTCAAGAATTAAAATGTAGGCCTGCTGAGTTGCGCCTCCCTGCCCTTCCGGTGGTGGGGCCCTTTGCAGGCAGACGGTCATCTGGGCGGCGTGCGGACAGGCCTGCTCTGAGTTTGCACTGCCTGCAGCATCTCCCTGGGGGCCACCTGCTCCTCACCGCCAGCCTCGATGGCAGTGACAAGTACCTTGGAAGCATGTTTCCTGTGTTTCCCCAAAGGGAGTGTCTGAGAGCCATCAGCCCACCACAGACATTCCACCAGATGGGGAGAGTGACTGCAGGCATGTCCTGTCCCACTAATGGCCGCTCACCCTGGCCTCCTGGGCCTGAGCAGGTCATCCCACCTCGGCCCCACAGCTCAGGTGATGGGGTTCCATGGAGGGTTTTGGGCAGGTGGCATGCCCCTGTCACGGCCATCCAGGAAGTCCCCTAGGACCTGGCATGTGAAGAACCGGAATAATGGTTTCCCTCAAGGCCAATCTGAGGACTTGTCCTTTGTGGAGATTTTGGGCTGTTTCTAGGCCACAGCTGCTCAGGAGGCATTTCTGCCGGTACCTGGTCCCTGACATTCTGCTTACCAGATGTAGGACAGTCCCTGCCCTGAGTTCCGACCCCCCACGACCCACTGGGCTCCTCAGTGTTGCAGAGGCAGGACCGAGACGTGGGCTCCTCCAGAAGCACGTTCTCGTGATGGGGTTTGGGAGCCAGATGGGACCATAATCACTTGACAAGCCAGCACTGAGCCGTGAGTTGCCAATGACAGTGAGCCCACGGAGGTCAGCCCGCCTGGGGAAAAGCAGGAGTCCCAGAGGCACCTGGCACCTTCCCCTCGGGGCAAGTGCTTGCTCCCCAGAGCAGGACACTGGCCAGCCACAGTCCCGTCCCACTTGCCTTAAAACTGGACAGGAATCTAGTATTTGCACTTAGCCAACAATTGTAAAACTTTTTTAAAGTGCATGACCTGTTATTTTGTATAAAAATAGCAAAGTTGATTAAGTTCTTTTCTTTCTGGTAGTAAAAGTACATAAAATACCTGTTTTAACTACTGTGTGTAAAAAGCCTGTATCATATGTACCTTGGACTTTTTTGTAAATAAATGTTTGTGCGCTCTGCTTCCTCTGGTTTCATTTCTCCACCGGCAGCCAGGCCCTGCCACCCCCACGAAATTGTGGGTGGCACAGACTGGCCCGATTCCCGGGGTGATGGACCTAAACGTCACTCAATGGAGACGCTACGGCAGGATTCCATCCCAGTGCAGCAGCCTGCTCAGGGAGGAAGGTGTCCCCACTGGCCTGCGCGAGTGTGAAACGGTGACCCGGCGTGCCAGCCCTGACTGCGATGCCGACCGGGGCCCAGGTTGGGCACAGAGGCCTTTTTGGCACAGAATCCCCTTTGGGAAATGGCGGTCAGTCCCAATTCCAGGCCTCTGTGGCAGATTTGCCCTGGAGTGCAGCTTGCGGACGCTCAGCCCCACCTCCCTGGAGGGCCGGTTTGAATGGAAGAAACCTACCCCTCTGAGATCTGGAGACCAAGGCAGGAGAACTGAGCCCCGTGCCCTGCCCTGCCACTCGAGGGCCTTCTTCCTCAGGCCCACCCTCTTCCCTGCCTACTGCCCCCCAGCCAGCAACCCCATCAGGGCACCTCCTACTGGATGCCAGGATCCACCCACAGGAGTTGGCCCCAAGTCCTGGAGGGCATCCTGGTGGGCTTCCGTACCTGGGCTCAACCCAAGCGAAAAATTTTAGTGAAACACAAGGCTGTCTTTCTCCTGCTATTTCCACATTTTTCTTCAGTGAATTTGCGGGGGGAGTGGAGGGTGTAGCAGTTTGATATGTCTGAAAAAAGTACAGCAGCCCTGGCTGGTGTGATCTGGATTGGCAAGCCGAAGGGTCACAGGTTGGATTCCCAGTCTGGGCTCATGCCTGGGTCATGAACCAGGTTCCCAGTTGGGGGTGCACGAGAGGTAACCGATGGATGTTTCTCTCACACGGCAAGGTTTCTCTCCCTCTCTTCCTCCCTCCCTCCCTGTCTCTCTAAAAATAAAGAAATGTTTTTTTAAAGTACATCTGACCCTTGAACACAATGAGGGGACACCAGCTGCCGCAAGCACACGAATAACCCCAGTCATCCCTGGCAGACTCAGCTTCCCAACCGCCCGTTTACCCCGGAACCATGCATTTTGAGCTGAGAGGGTCAGTCGGAAACTCCGCGTGCGGCTGGAGCCGCAGGGCTCCCAGAAGCTGTGCGACCCTCACCAGGTCCTGCCGTCCGTCCGAGATAAAAATGCCCTGCGTTCCCACCTTCTGAACAGGCCGCTGTTTTAAAAACTGCCCGCGTTGCCCAGTCATGACTCCTGTCCACGGGCATGTTTCGCATATTGGCAGCGATATCACAGACTTTCTGCAGTTTCAGTGATGGGAACAACGATGCACACGGAGCCAGCGCGACATGGAGCTGGAGCTGGAGCTGGGGCCCCAGGGGAACAGCTGCCTTGCCCAGCCTCGGCCTCCAATCTTTGGAATTTTGAAAAGAGCAAAATAACCCCTGGATGGGGCCTAGGGCAAAACGAGGTGTCCATTCTAAGAACTGTCTGCAAAGACAACTAGAAAGCAGATATGATTGCTTGACCGATGACTGAAAATTTGAAACAGCCACAGATCACGATGTTGCATTACCCGCAGCGGTGGGAAGGCCTTTGTCTAAAGGCCTTTGTCTGGACGTGGGTGTTGTCCTCCCCCTTCTCCTGAGTACCCCTTGCTTTTGTCTCCTCATGGGAACACTCTTTGGGCTTCTGCCTGAACTAATAATTCTTGAATAGCTACTCTCATCAGAGTCGGATAAAGGCTTGTTGCCTCTGACTCTGAAAGGCCTTTTTACTTTTAGGTTAACAACAGGTAGATAAGTAATGGCTATTTTCCTAATCTGCCACCATCTTTATGTCCCTCCAGGTGCCTGGAGTGACACACAGCTGCCGGGAGGTCGCAACACGCAGACCTGCACAGGGGGCGCCTTTGCTATTGATCGCAAAAGGGATGTCGTACGTTCCCCTGCAACTCGCTCTCTCTTCCTTTCCCATCTGGCGTGCTCTCCAGGTCTGTGGCTCTATCACAGCTCTGATCCGACCCTTTTATGCTGTGAGATTTCTTTGTCAGATTTGCTACAAGTCATCCAGACATTCCCTGTTAAGGGAGGTCCAGATGCTCCCGAAGCGTGGCTGCCACGCACACCTCCGTGCACGCCCCTCCGTGCACGCCCCCCGTTTCCGCACCAGAGTCTCTGGTGGTGGGAGGGCTAAGAGTCGAGGGCGGGGCGGGGCTAACCGGGACTTCAGCCAGATTCCTCGCCGGGTCTCAGGGGAGAACCCTGAGCTGCGCTCCGCCCCTCGCGGGCATGGCCTTGCACCCAAGGTCTGTCTGCTGGCCAAGGGCTCTTCCTCTGGAATCTGACCTCGGGGAGGCGTCGCCTGCACCGACATCCGTTTCTTTCGAGAGCGCTACGTCCAGGTCAGGGGCGTTTGTGGCCGTGCTGTCCACACGTTCTCTATTCCGTCCTTAGAAGTATCTCTTTTTACCTACACACATTTGCCTGTTACAAATGTTTTAAAATAGAAAAGACCTCAGAACACTAAAGCATAAGGGAAAAAGTGCTTCGTGACACAAAGGTAACTAATGACAATGTTGTTTTTTTTCTTATCGATTTGAGGGAGAGAAACATCAGTTTGCTGTTTCACTTATCTGTGCGTTCATTGCCTGGTTCTTGTCAGTGCCCTGATGGGGGATCAAACCCACAACTTTGGCTTATGGGGCAACACTAACCACTGAGCTCCTGGGCCAGGGCAGTGCTGGTAATGTATATATACATTTTCTTCCGTGTGTTTTCTCCTAAAATTATACAGTGTTTCATGAAGCCGAGCAACCCGGTGAGCAGATTATCTCCTTGGCTCAAGCCTCTCACCGCGCAGGCTGTACAACTGCCCGACTGGGGACCCCCTCCCTGGACAAACCCTTCCCAGCACATCCCCCACCCCCAGGTCTGGAAGAGCCGGACTCCGGGACGTTCAGCTGTTGCTTCCACATCACTGAGCCTTCTGGCTTCCAGCCTGGCTTTAACGGGCGGTGCATTGGCCGCCAGGACACCGCCAGATGCCCACCATCCCTTTGTGGCCCCCCATCTGCCCTTGTCAATCTCATGACTATGCCCCCCCAGGGACCACCAATCACAGCACAGGCATCTCGGTTTTGTCATCAGCAGCCTCGGTGCTCCTGCTGACTGCTCCTGGCGGGGTGCCCCTGGGTCCTGGTGGAGGCCCCACTGCCCTGTGCCCAACCATACCTCCCAGTGTGTCTGTCACCATCTTGTTGGACACCCAGGTGGCACCCTGCTCACCTGCAAGGTTGTCTTGCTGCTCTAATCCTCTGTAAACGGGGAACCCAGCACCCTCACCCAGGGGTGCCAGGGGTCAAATGAGGGACCACCAAAGCCAAAAGGCCAGCCCAGAGCCCCCGGACCTGCCTGAAGTCCCTGCTGCTGGGTCCAGGCTCCCTGAGTAGCTGCAGATCGCCTCTGCTGCTTCTTGTCTGTGGGGCGGGGGGGGCGCAATGCTTCCCACCCTCCCACCCAGAGTTGGACCAAGGGTCCTGCTGTGTTGTAAGGACCCACCCTGAGCTGCAAGCTTGGCCATCCTGCCCACTCCTCCCAGGCCCCGTGCCCCCTGGACACCCAACTGGAGGGGGATAGAGTCCCCCGAGCCCCCTTCAAATAGGCCCCTGGTCTGCTGTCAGCTCAGTCTCTGTCTACCCCTAAACATGCAGGCGCAGGCCCACCTGAGTGCCTCCTGCTCAGGCCTGAATGTGGCAGGCTGCCCCTCCCCCACCCCAGCTGCAGCACCCCCACCACTGAGGACCCCACACCTTTGCAAGGTCTGTGTCCCCCCCCCCCCGTTCCTGGAGGTGCCCGGGCTGCTCAGACTGACCCTCAGAGCCCTGGGCCAGGCCCTCCCTGCCGCCTTCACCCCAAAGACACACACAGGCTGGCCTCGGTGCTGGATTTGTGTTATTTTATTTAGCTCTTTCCAGTCCGAAGCTACTATCATGGGTATTTGGAGTTATACAAATGACACTTACAAAAAAATAAAAGGCCAAGACACCCAGAGTGAGATGCATGGTGAGGCGAACCAAGGTGGGGGGAGGGGCTGGCGGGGGGCCCTGGGAGCCAGGGGTCAGGGGCAGGGTGGCTCCTGGCAGGCTCCCAGCTGAGGGTGGCCCCCGGCCTTATCCCGCCCCGAAACCCAGAGTCCAGTCCGACAAGGAGCACCGACCGCGCCGGCCAGAGGCTCTGGCTGAGGCAGTGAGGGGCACAGCACCACCAGGTAGAGACGCAGGCCAGGAAGGGGGACAGGTAGGAGTGCCTGGGGGAGCCCCTGGGCCGGGGCGGGGGCAGATTCTAAATTCCAGGGAGCCTGCCCCACCACTAGTGAGCTGAGGGCACCCAGGCCTGGAGATGCTGTCCCAATACCCTCCCCCCAAGACCCCTTGAGGGCCACTCACGGCTATACCCAGGCTTGCCCGAGCTGCCTCCAACAAAACGTTCCTAACGTTTCTTTAAAAAAAAAAAATACTGATTTGGTCATTTTCTGCTTCCAGTCAGGCCAGGGGGGATGAAAGAGACAGGAGCGGGCCCCAGACCACAGGGACGTGCGGTAGGCAGGCCTGCCCAGGGCAGAGGGGACAGGTGCTGGGCACTCTGGTTCCAGCCCCCTGCCTGTACGGCCCTCCTCCCGATGCAGGGCTGATGCACCGGGATGGGGGCCCCCGAAGGGCTTGGGGGCAGGTGCCCGGCTCCTGGGAAGCTGCGGGGATCTCGGCCAGGGAGGGGGAGTAGGACATTCCAGTTACAGCCTCCACACCCAGGCCCCCAGCCCCCACTGCGCATCGGCCGCTTTGGGAAAATAAGGCTCAGAGTCATCTGAGGTCAGAAGAAAGATGTGCCAGCCTCGCCCACGGCAGAGGAGAGGGCGGAGGGCCACGGTCCACCTGAGGACCAGGCCGCAGCCGCTGACCCACGGGGGAGAGGCCACACAGGCGACAGGTAGGGACACCGTTTTCTCTGGGTTTCCAGTTTGAAAGGCAAGGGGCGTGCCGCCCTCGGCAGCGCCCACCTGGAGGAGGATTAGCAGGAGGGGTCAGGGCAGGCTGGGGACCGGGACGCGGCAGGGTGGCGGGGACTAGTACTCCCACAGCATGGCGGGGTCGATGGTCTCGGCGCAGGCCTTCAGGACCCCCGCGTGGTCCCCCTTCAGGTAGCGCCCACCCACCTTGATGGCCACCTTGTTGTAGTCGCAGAACTCGAAGAAGAAATCAACGGGGGTGTCGCTGCTGCTGGTGACCAAGGAGTCACTGCCCACCGTCCAGTACTTGCCGGTGGAGTCTGGGGGGAGGGGCAAGCCTGTCAGGTCCACCCAGACTTCCCACCCCACCCCTCCAGGATGGGGGCCAGCCCCCGTCCCCCCTTCGAATCCCTGACTCCCCGTCTGCCCTGGCTCGGTCTGGGGTGGGCTGGGAAGTCTCCGTCCTACACAGACAAGAGGGGAAGGGGCTGCTCCTAGTCCAGAGCCCCTGGCGGCTGCAGGACATCTGTCCCCCTGGGGCTTGGAATGGCAGAAGCCCTGTCAGAGGAAGACCAGGCTGAGCCCCACAGTCAGGGCCATGCAGGGCAGGGGGTCCCACCCAGCAATGGCGCAGAGAACCTGCCTTTGATGTTGTAGGCACCGTCGTTGAACTCGAGCTGGAAGACGTCGTAGCTGGAGCGGTTGGCGTCCAGGGTGCCTGTGACCTTGCGGCAGCCAATGAAGCCATGCTCCCCACGGAACACAATGATGGGGCGGTTGATCAGCTTCATGAGGAAGAGCTCTGTGTCCCCTGTCCCAGAAAGGGGAGGGGCTGTGAGCTGGGACACTCAGACTGGCTCAGAGAGAGGGTGGGGGGAGGGCCTGGGGCCACAGAGTGCCAGCCCTGGGCTGAGACTGGGTGGGGACAGTGTAGGGTCACCCAGCTCAGGGCGGGCCACAGGGGGCCTTGGTGAGTGGCCCCGGCATAGTCAGACCACTATGGAAAAGTGGGTCTTGTTGGGGGGGGCCACAGGCAGCTACCTGCTGTCTCCACCGAGGCGGCCAGCTGCCCGTTCTTCTTGGCCGTCACAAACTTGCCATTGGACGCACGCAGGGTGATCCGCCGATCACGCCACTCGATGTCAAAGTAGCAGCTGGCATTCCTGGGCGTGGCAGGACAGAGTCAGGTGGATCCCCCAGGCCCCAGCCCCAGGGGGAGGGGAGTGACCGGGGGGCACAGGGCACTTACTTGGTGGAGGCGGTGGACTGCACGCCCCCGGTGGTCGTCAGCGTCCAGTACTTGCCCGTGTGGGTGCGGAAGGCGCACTTTTTGGTGTCGCGGTCGATCTCCAGCTGGAAAGTCTCCTGGTCGGTCTCTTCGTCCTGATTGGCCGACAGGTCCATACCTGGGTGGGGGAGAGCCTGCAGCTGGTACCGGGCCCTGTGGCCCCAACCAACCAACGAGCTCCAGCCTGCAAAGCAGAGACCAGACCCTGGGACAGGCAGGGCCACCCCAGGAGCAAAGCTGCTCCTCTGGGTCCAAGTGACTTTCTCTGATGAGAGAACTGACCCCTTCCAACACACCCGCTGCAGGAAGACACCGTGGAGCCGGCAGGGGAAATCGTCCTGTGGCCCGTGGTGAGATACAAACGATTAACTGTTGTTAATTGTGTTGTGGTTGTGCAAGAAAACGGCCCCTTTTTTTTTTAGAGATATAGACGGAAGCATTTCCTGATGAGATGCCCTGGTGTCGGGGAGTTGCTCTAACTTCAACCAAACCCAGGGCCACACGGAGGGATGGGGACCCCAGCAGAGCGTGGCTCCCGCACCGGGGTTAGGCTTGCAGATCGAGCCCCGCGAGCGCGGGTTCGCGCAGGAAATTTAGGGAGCGCGCAGACACACAGACGTGAAGCCAAGCCGCGTGAACCCTGGACAGCACTGGGACCCGGGGGGGCTGCTGCTTCCGAACATTTAGCCTCCCTGTATGTCTTCATTTGCATATGATTTGCATTTTTGCATACCAGGGTGGAGCCTCCAGTGAAAACCTGGACCTGGCATCTTTGACCCAACAGAACCAATTAATTCACACCCCCCAGCCCCTGGGTTCTCAGCCCACAGGCACAGGACGCTGCACAGAGCGCTGGCTGCTGGGCAGGGGCCTGCCCACGGGTCACTCTCTGGGCCTTGATGCCTTAGGAAGTTGAGACATGATGGTAGCATCCAATGTCCCTTCAGACAAGGAGCACATGCGCCCTAGGACCCCTCCTACTTCTCAGCCACGGCTCTGAGGGCCTGAAAGGTGCCATCCCCTTCTTAACCAGTGACATGCCCCCCCCTCAGTACCAAGGGGTGGGGACCTTTATCCCCACCTCGCAAAGAGACTGAGGCAGGGAGGTACTGTCCTTGCCCAAGGTCACGAAGAGAAAGCAAGGGCACTGGTGGTTCTCAAGAGGGTGGTGGACACCCTCAGCCCCCCGTCCAGCCCTCCCTCCTCTCTCTGGACTAGCAGCCATGCCATGACCTCTGTGGGTCTCCCAGGGCCCTGAACCAGGCCCCCAGCCCCGCCCCCAATGTCAGGGGTGGTGAGCTGGATGGACCATCATGGCCCAAGGCAGCACTGGGTCAGGACAGCGTCAGCAGGGGCTGGGTCCGCTGACCACCAAGCCACCACCAGGAAGGACGTTCCTGAAGCCACAACGGAGAGCAGAGCTGGGTGCTGGGGTCCGCTCCCTGCTCAGAACTCCCCCAGCACACTGGCCAACCTGCTCCTCCCCCACGGCTACAAGAGGAGCCACGCCCCTGCTCCGCCAAAACCCATCCGGTGGCCCGCAGCCCGGCCAGGGGCACAGCCTGCCCAGGGCATGCATGGTGGTCTGGCCCAGGGCAACGGTGGCACAGACAAGGGGGAAAGCCCCTCTGGGTGCACCCCAGCAGCAGAAAAGCCAGAGGGGACTTCTCAGAAAGAGAGCAAAGGGGGCAGGGAAGGGACCCGGAACAGAGGTCAAATCTCTGGACAGCCTCACCAGCCCGGCACAGACACTGGGCACTCACCAGCCCACAAGGAGCTCAGGGGGCAGGCGCACTGAACTGGAGCCCTGGGGCATCACTAGCAGCTGCTTCCCCAGAGCAACAAAGGGAAGCGCCACAGTGCCCGGGGGCAAAACGGCCACCATCAGCTCCCTTGCTCAGACCCCATGAGCCTGGCTGTGGCCAGAACTGGGACGGGTGTGGCAGAAAGGCCCAGGCCAGCCAGGGCCCCAGAGCGGGGGCCAGGCGGCACCCTTGGACGGGCCCCTTCCTATCGCTCGGTCTCTGCGTCTCTCTTGGCCCATGGAAAGGGCCCGGTCTCTCCACCCTGCCAGGAGGCCCAGGGGTTTGGGGGCCTAGTGTGGCTGGGGTAAGGGGAGTTGCCCCCCAACCCCCAGCAAGGCCCCTCCTGGTTCCAAGGCCAGGCCCAGACAGAAAAGGCCCCTCTTGGCCTTGGAGTCTCTAATTAGAGCCGGGTTACCATGGAAACAGCGTTTTCTTTGGGATTTTTCTTTTCAACAGCAGCACAGAAAGCCTGAGTCACGGGCCCACAGCAGCCCTGGGGAGGAAGGAGGTGTGGGGCTCAGTGGAGCCCACGGGCCCACCCCCCCACCCCCAGAGAGGCACCTGGAATGGGTAGTGCCCATCCCCCTCAGCCCTAGCAGTTCCCAAACTCCCCCCACTCCCATTCAGTTTAGGGGAGGAGGGGTCTGAAGCCTGTGGCCAGTCACTTTCCCCATTCCCTGACCCCTTCGAGTCCCTCCTCCATCCTCACAGAAGCCCCTCCCCAGGCCCCAGATGCCCCACCTCATAGGAAGAACTCTTACACATCCTGCAGAGCCCAGTTTGACCGGCCGTTCCTCAGCCTGCCAGCCTGGCCTTTGGGCGGCTGGGACAGGGCCCTTCCTCAGTGGGGGACCCCCCAGGCACAGCTGGCCAGGTGCAAGGAGGCTGTGAGGGCCACTGGAACACGGGGGTGCAGTGCTGCCTGGGGTCTGGCTGGAGCCTGGGGCAGGTGAGGGTCCCAACCAAGGAAGGGGAAGCGCTGCCCCTCCGTGCCCCTGCCACCCCCACCCCTGCCCAAGCCCTGTCCTCAGTGTGGTCACAGCCACTCCCTTTCCCAGGACCTGGGAAGGACACCTGCCCTCTGCTTCTCACGCCCGCTCTCAGGCACCGGGACCCCGCTCCCCACTCCCAGGCGGCCAACCCGGGCTCTGTTGGCGGCTCTGACGGCCTCTTCCCGGAAACACAGCCTGGCTGAAAACGTGCCCTGGCACCAGCCCTGCACAGATGGGGAAACTGAGGCAGGAGAGCAGGCTGCAGCTTCAGCAGGGAACACCCCACCCCCACTGGGCCAGTCGCTGCAGGATGCGGGGATGAGTCACGTCCCCCCAGGCCAGGATGCTCCTCCTTCCTGGCTGGAGTTTCCCAGCGGTTCCCCAGCATGTGTCGGAAGCAGCCTCCTTTGCCACGCAGGCCCGTCCAAAATGGCCTCGGCAGATGCACACCCACCTGGTGCCAGCTCAGGGTCCTCTGGTCGTTCTCCATCCCACCAGGAAGACCCAAGTCAGCTAACGTGACAATGAAGTGAAGACCCCAATATCTGAAGCCTACGGAGCCCCAGTATCAGCTCCCAAAGCCCCCTCCCCCAGTTCCACATCCCCCTAAACTCACAGATGAGCCAACACCCCTCTCTTGGCTCAATTTCCGCTATTCGTGCCCCGTCCGCCTGAATCACATCATGAAACCCCCTAGCAAGCTTTACTAGAGAGGAGCGGGCATGCGTCCAGGCTCGGGAGTAGCTGCCAAAAACACCCTTGAGCTTACTCTGGGCGTTCTGCTCCTTCTCGCCTCGGGGCCTTTGCACAAGCCGCAGCCGGTCCACACACTGATTCATGCTACCTCTAGTCATCTTTCAGGCCAGCCCAAGCGTCTGCCTCAGGAAGTGACCTCCCTCCATCTCATCTGGAACCCCTATGTCCTTCCTGGACCCCAGGCCTTGGCTTGACACCTCCAGGATATCGATTATGTCCCAGGGAGAACCCCAGCCCCACCAGGGAAGGACCTGGGACATGCCTACTTGTTCGCCAGCCAGGCCTCAGCATGTCTCAATTGACAGGGGCTCAGTGTCCACGGCACAGGTGGGGAGCCCTATCCCACCCAGTACTGTGTGAGACCAGAAGGGGAGGCCCACGCGGGCCCCAGAGGTGGGGAGGCACCAGGGGGCCCAGGTAGGAGCCCACCCTAGAGTTCAAAAGGCCCAATTCTGCATGCTGCTTCCCAGCTGTGTGACCTCGGGCACATGGCTTCACCTCTCTGGGCAGAACCCACCCATCTGTGGGGAGGAAGCCCTCTGCCCACGCCCACCAGCGAACTCAAGCACAAAATCATGGCCCCTGTGACCGGAGCCCCCTCGGGAGAGTGGCCATCAGGAGGGGGGCACTCTGGGCTCTCATCCACCCATCTCCAGAGGCGGGGTCCGCTTTCCCATCCTGGGGAGGAAGACCCCAGAGGTCCCCCGCAGTGGGCCTCTGGGCTGCCAGGAATCAGCTGCCTTCGCCTCCAAAGGAGGGGCGGGGCCGCCAGAAGGAAGAGAAGCCGCCAGGGGGGGAATCTGAGGAGGGAAAGAGGGGGGCTCACTTCTGCTAGGAAATGGCTAGACCAGCGGGAGGCCCGGGAGGACAGGACGAGCTGCAGCCAATTGTTCTAGGCCCGAGCCTCGGGGCGGGTTCACTCGAGGGCAGGGGGCTTCCCGAGGGATCCGAGCTCCCGCCGAGGCCGCCCTCGGACGCCCGCGGGGCCGTGCGCACCCGCCCGGGGACGCCGGACTGGCTCAGGGCGGGGTGCCTGGCAGGCAGTCATCCGGTCGGGGGCGCGAGGAGAGAGGCTCCGGACCCAAGCGCTAGGTTCGGGAGGACGTGAATGGGGGTCCTCAGCAGGGGGGACCCGCAGAAATATGATTCCTCTCCCCACCCGCCCCGCCGCATCTGGTTTTCCCATCTGCAGAGACCAAGCAGGACAAAGGGGGCGAGGGAGGGCCCAGCCGAGGAACCCGCCCCCCTGTTCACAAAGGCCGCGGCCTCCAGCGAGGGCAGAGGCGGGAGGAGGGGCTGGGGGGAAGGGCAGACACTCGGGGCCCCCTCCCCAGCAGAGGCCAACCACTCCTGACAGCAAGAGGTGGAGAAAGGCCTGGAGAGCGGGGAGGTGGAGGGCACCCCTCAGAGATCAAAGCCTTCCCTCCCGCCCTCAAAAGGCGGCCCCTGGGGTTTGGGGGCGCGTTCGGGACTTGTTGCGACCCTCGCCTCCGCCCTGGAGCAAAAGGCCTGCTGACGGGGGAGGGGCTCGAGGAAACAGCCGATCCGAGGGACCAGCTGGCGCGGGGAGAACCCAGAGTGGGCAGGGGGGCCGTAATGGCACCGAGGGCGGCGCATCCGCGGGGCCTAAGATCCCCAAACCCAGCGGGGTGGGGGTTCTGCAGCGGCGCTCGAAAGTGAGCAAAGCCCCACCCCTCGCCCCCTCGCTCCAGGCCTGAGCGCAGGTCCCGCGGCGGGACGGGGCCGGCCTTCGTGTCTGGCGGGGGCGCCGTGGGGAACTGCAGCGGCGGCGAGAAAGGGCGGGAGGCTGGAAGGCTGGGGGTGGGGTGCGCTTTGTGCAGGGACCCGGGAGGCGGGGGCGACGTCCCCACTCACCCTGGCGCGTGGACACGTTCCTCTCGTTGGCGGCCTGCAGCACGACCTGGGCGCAGCTCTGCTCCAGGGCGAAGAGCTCGTCCTTGCCCACCTTGGTGGCCTTGCCGGCCTTGAGCGTGCCGCTGGGCCCGGACGGCGCCAGGTAGCGGCCTTCGCAGTCGCGGAAGGCCACCTTGCCGGAGCGGAATTCGAGAGTGTAGCCCGTGGCGGGCTCGGGGCGCGCCACCAGGCGCCCGTCGTGGCGCAGGAAGCGGTGGTCGGAGGTCTGCACGCTGTAGCGCTGGTCCTGGAAGGCCAGCGTGATGAGCGAGTCGACGCCCCAGGGGACGTCGCGGTCCACCGCGATCTCGTCCGCCGGCCTCGCGCTCAGGTGTGCGTAGCGCTTGCGGGTCAGACTGTAGATGTTGACCTGCGGGTGCATGGCGATGTGCACGCTCCACTTCTCGGCCGGCGACACGGTCTGCGCGAAGCACGACAGGCGGTCCTCCGTGCCGCCGAAGTAGCGCCGGTGCGCCTCGGACTGCAGCGACCAGCGGCCGTCGTCGTGCGCCACGATCAGGAAGCGGCAGTCGGCGCCGGGCACCTCGCGCTCGCAGGTCACGTTGCCATCCTTGTCTGCCGCCAGGTAGCGGCCCAGGTGGCTACGCAGGCACACGGCCGCGCTGCCCGCCTCGTCGGGCGGCTGCTCCAGCGTCCAGATCTGCTTCTTCTTCAGGCTGCTGGCCGATGCGTTCACCTTGAACCCGAACGCCTCGGCCGTCAGGTACTTGTTGCCGCAGTTGATGAGGCCGAACTGGATCTGCACCGCCTCGGTCGTGCCGTTGGCAGTCATGGTGGAGGCGGGCGGCGGGCCCCGGCGCGGCCCGGGAGGTCGGTGGCGGGTCCCCGCGGCAGCTCGCGATTTCTTTGTTCGGCGACTGCGAGCCGGCGCGCACCCTCCGCTGCGATCCACAAAGCCGGCTGGGGCGCCCGGCCGCTTTATAGGCCGGGTGACGTCAGCGCCAGCAGGCCCCGCCCCCGGCTCGCCGCGCGGCTCGGCGTGGGAGGGGGCTCCGAGCTGGAGGGGGCGCTCTCCGCCGCGCTGGGGCCCCGAGGGGCGCGGGGGGCGCCTCAGTTCCCGGTGTCCTCGCTTTCTGCCCGGCGGACCTCTGTAGCCTCCCGTCTCGGCCGCCACCCCAATGCCACGGCCGCACCCCCGCAGCGCCGCAGCCCGACGACGCACCCGGAGCCCTGGGCAGACCCCTCGGAGGCCCCCAACCCCAAGCCTGCCATGGAGGAGAGACAAGCTGGGTTTGAGGTTGTGACAGAGACGTTGTAACGGGGGGAGGCTGTCCGGAGGCAGCTCGGAGGAGGTGATCTTAGAGCAGAGCCTAGAAGGAGCCGAGAGGAGCCCCTGCAAGGGCCTGTGGGTCATGGGGTGGGGTCGGGTGAGGTCCAGGACAGGAGCTGGGGAGGGGTCTGCAGGCCCAGCTCGCCCAACCCAGGCCTTGCAGTAAGCCCCTCCCGAGGGGCGCTGTGGTTCCCGGAGGCCTCGCTCCCAAGTCGCCGCCCTGAAGGCCACCCAGACCCCTCCCAGCGGCCCAGGCACACAGCCTGGCTGGGCCGAATAGGTCTCCTTGGCAGGGACCTCGGACCTCAACAAGTGACCAGCGTTCCCATGGCGGGGACTCAAAAGCCTTAGGATTGTGGCCTACGAGGCAGCGGGAGGAGCAGAGCATTGTTTTGCTGGGTGGCACAGCCCTGGTCGGTGCGGCTCTGGGATCCCAGCCCAGGTCCCACTTCTAAGGCCTGGGTGCCTCCCACCCTACACCCCAGAGCCCGTCTTCCCAGGAGGCTGCGCTAGCACAGGGCCTGTGGGCGCGCGCCAGGGACACCCTCATCCTTCGGAAACCCAACTCTCCACCCTGCATCAAAGGGGACACTTCCGCTCTGGCTGGGTGTGCAGGTGGTTAGAGCACCTTCCCAAAAGGGCAAGGTTGTGGGTTCGATCCTCAATCAGGGCACAGACAAGATTTGACCAGTGAAGGCATGAGTACGCAGGGCCACCATCCATGTTTCTCTCTGTTTCTGTCTGTCTCTCTCCCTTCCTCTCTCTCTCTCTGAATCAGTAAATTAAAAATAAGGTGGGGGGAGACATTCCTACAGACACCGCCTCACCCGGTCCAGGAACACTTCCCCTCTCTGAGCCTCTCTGAAGGCCAACACTTCGTCTGGGACATTCCCCGCGTGCCGGGCGGGCCCCTGGAATGCCAGCACCACCACAAGCTGCCCACAAGGTCTCCGGGCAGAGGCGGCGGGCACCAGGCTGGGCCCCAGCTGGCCTGGCCAGTCAGAACCCGTGCTTCCCCCCAGGAAACCCCCTGCAGGGAGTTTTGTTTTCCAGGGGGACACGGTGTGACCTTCTCAGCCCTGGGCTGGCACACCGGGTCGAGTCTCCTCCCACAAAGCACACCGGCTGCAAAGCCAGGAGATCGAGTCTCTCGATTTGAGGTCATCTCATAGGCTTGAAACTCAGAGTCTCCTTGGCTGTGTGACTTAGGCAAGTTACTTAACGTCTCTGAGCCTCAGTCTCCCCTTTTGTAGAAGGGATACAAATCCCCCACTTGGGGTGGCAGAAGAGTCCCTGGGGGGGGGCACTCTCAGATGCTGTTTCTGAACGTCCTCTGGGCCCAAGGAGGCCTGTGTCTAATTAGGAAGACCCCAAGCCTCTGGCCCACCACCTAGAGTCCCAGTGAAGGGGGCGGAGTAACAGCAGGCTTTTAGGGAAAGCCGTAGGGCGCCAGGCTGGGTGCTGGCAGTGTGGCTGGAGGTTCTGAGAGCCGGATTTTTTTCCAAATGGACAATGCATTTCCATAGTTCAAAAATCCAAGAATATCAGAAGGCCTCCACTCCCATCCCCGCTGCTCGAGTCGTTTCTTGTGTTCGCCTTTCTTTACCCAGACGAGCAAGCATGGGTGGGTTGCTTACTCTTTCCTCCATTTTTAAACAATATTTTCAATGCTGCTTTTGTCACCTGATGTATCTTAGCACAGTTTCTGCCTCAGCACATCAGTGGCGGTCTTGTTCTTTTTCACAGCTGCATAATATTCCAAGGGCTTGCTGCACCAGGTTTATTTAACTGGTACCATGTGGGCAGACCCCTGGGTTGCTGCCGTTGATGCCCTGCTTTGGCCAGAAGCCCCTCCCGACAGTGAAGCTCTCAACCTCAGACCTGCACTGTTTTTCCTGCTTCTCTTTGCCTGGCAATGGCCCATGCACCGTGTAAAAAAGGAAGGCTTGAATGCTTTTGCTGATGGGGAGCTCACTACTCTTTGTCCATGGCAAGTATAGGTCAAGGCCACCTGACTCTGGTGTTTGATCTTGACTTTTGCGCTGGGTGCACCCCGAGATTTCATTTCAGACAGCCCCTGCTCATCAATGATGAGTGCGGGGAACTCTCCGAGGCTGCTTGGCTGGGGAGAAAGTCTTTCAGTCCCCAAGGCTCGGGAAACTGGATTCAGAACTGGCTGAGCAGCCCTTCCCAATGGCCTCATTTCTGTCCCCAGATCAGGCAGCAGGGAGCCCAGTGGCCGGCCTGGGAGTGGGTCAGGCCTGGCCCCAGGCATGCCCTCGTTCTGGGGCAGCTCAGGTGGCGCCTGGGTTCCCGTGGGGCCCAGGGACGTCGTGTCCATGTTCCCATCCTTCCCCAGAGGGACCCAAGGCAGGGCCTGCAAAGAGGACCGTGTGACTTCTTCACTGGACACAGCGGTGCCCAGTGTAACGGAGACTCGGGGAAGGCCAGAAAAGGGACCCCGAATGTTTTTTGACTGATTGGTGGATGGCCACCAGGGCAGTGTTGATATTTCAGTGTGGAGATGCAGAGCTCTATTTCTGACGGTTTTGGTTTTGTTTGCTTTTGGCTTGGGTTTTTTTTTTTTGCTCTGTGCCTTGCTTCCAGGCCTCAGTGACTGGTCCCAGCGAATCCCCTGTCTCCACGGCGACTCCCAGCCCTTTCTCGGGGCCTGTGGATGTCCTCGGAATCCCACTGTGCTTCCAGCTGGACCCCGGAGCGAGCCGGCCCGGACCCCTGGGCCCTCCACCTGCCTCAGAGCCAGGCCCTCTCACTGGGCCAGGGCTGCGCAGGCCCATGCGGGGCCTCCAACCCCGTGGGCGCCTCCTTGCAGGAATCTCCTTCAGGACCCACTCTCCCAGCTGCAGGGAACTTCGTGTCCCAAGAACTGAGCCCAGGGTCCCACCAGCCTCTGGGACCCCTCCCACTGGACTCTGCCCTCAGGGGGCAGAGTCTGGCTGTGGGGGAGGCAGCTCTGACTTCACTAAGATTGTGAGGTCTCCAGGCACTGTGCCAAGGGCCGTATCTGTTTAAACTTCCAACGAGCTTTTGTCTCGTCTTTACACAGATAAGGAGCCTGGGAGCTGAAGAAACTAGACCCAGCGGAGAGCAGATTGCTGCCCCCTGGGGCTGGGGGCGGGGCTGGGGGCGGGGCTGGGGTGCAGCTGCCCAGTGGGATGGGTTCCTTTGGGGGGCATGAAAATCTTGTAGACCTGGGTAGACGTGATCACACGACACTGAAAGTCCCAGATGCTACAGAACTGTACACTTCAGTGGATTGAGCACCAGCCTGCGAACCAAAAGGTCACCAGTTCTGTTCCCAGTCAGGGCACAGGCCTGGGTTGTAGGGCCAGGTCCCCAGCAGGGGGCACTCACTCGAGAGGCAACCACACACTGATGTTTCTCTCCCTCTCTCCAGCCCTTCCCCTCTAAAGATAAATAAATAAAATCTTAAAAAAAAAAAAACCCTCCATCAATCTTATAGACAAAAAAAAGGAACACAACTACATCACACAGTTGGGAGCTGACAGAAGGACTCGAACCCAGGTCTCCCCCAGTCAGCCGTGCGCTCACAACCCAGCCAGACACAATGAGCAGGGGTGGCGCCTCTGGCCGCGCACCCCCTCCCTGCTGGTGTGTTCTGAGTCTCCCCGTTGGAGCGGCCCCGCACCTGCTCCTTCCTGGGCACCCTCCACCTGCTGGGCGTCTCACATGCGCCTCCCCCCTCCCCGGCCCCGCCCGTCAGCACCAGTGCGATGCTGGAAACCTCACCTCGCCCGATCTCTGTCCAATTTTGTGGTGGGTCACTCAGACGCCAGGGTTGGGGGTCCCCTGGGTGGCGGCGGGCGACTCACAGCCCCTGTCACTCCCAGGAGCTTCCTGCCAGCATCATTAGAGCTCGGTGATAAAGGGGAACTGGACCATGTCCTCTCCCAGCCTCAGTTTCCCTTTTCTCAAAAGGAGACTGTGGCCCAGGTTTGTGCAAGAGCCTGCTGCAGGCCAGAGCCTGTGAGTGGCCGTGGTCCTGCTGCCTCTGCGGTCCCCTCAGTGCAGCTCGGTGCAGCCTGCGCCTCCCATGGTGCCTATCCCGTGGGAAGAAGCGATTCCAGAGCCAGACTCCCAGCAGGCCTGGCTGCCCTGCTGACTGGTGGGACCAGGCCAGCTGTGTGCCACCCAGGGCCACCGGCCATGTCCCAGCACTGTCAGCTCAAAGCCAAGGAAAGCAGGATAAGGCCAACACCCCATCGGCCCATCTCTGCAATCACCCTGCCAATCTCTGTGCCATCAGGTCACAAATAGGGAAACTGAGGCATGGATGGAACAGAGGCTCTGGCCGAGCTTTAAAGAGCAATGCACAGTTTTGGGGGGCCCTGGATTCATGGCTCTAGTCAGATTTGCCAAGATATTTGTGACCCCTCAAAACTGTGACCCCCCAAACTGTGACCCCTGTCCCTAAACTCTGACCCCTCAAAGGCGTGAACCAAACTGGTGAGTGCCCAGGGCATTGCCCCCGTGACGGATGAGCTGCTGTCGGGAGCAGAGGGCCCTTGAGTTGGCCCTGAGCTCCAGGAGGCGGCACTGCCCCTGTGGGTAGAGAGGTCAGCAGGTCAGAGTTGGCGCTGGAGCCAAAGGGCAACCTCTGGCCCACCCTGTGTCTGTTACTGAACATGCGTCCCCAGAAATCGTCTCCCTGTCACCCTTCTGGGCGGTGAGGCCCTGAGGGGAGGCCTGCATTGGCCTCCGCGGGCAGCTCAGAGGCCCCACCTGGCCGTCCACTTGCCCCCAGAGCGGCAGATGTCGGCCGGCCCCGCTCCAAGGCCGAGTGTGGTTTGCAAAGTGGAGCCGTGGTGGCGGGTACCTGGCAAGTAAGTGCCTGGCTAATTAAGAGGACATTAGCGCCCTGGGCAGAGCTCACTCCTGCCAAGATGTCCTTGCCAGGAGCAGGCCGGGTCCCTCAGCCGAGGAGAGGCCGCCGGCTAGTGCCAAGCCTCAGCCCCGCTGCTTGCACCAGGCCGCCGCCCCACTCCTGCTCTGGACACCTGCAGCTGCCCTCGGGGTCCTCCCACCCCTTCACCAGTGACCAGAAGACCCCAGCAGGACAGGCCGTCTCTGGCCTCAGCTCCGTGTGTGGAATGGCAGGGTCACCCATTCCTCCGAGAGCTGGCACCGAGCCCTCCCGAACTCGGGGTCTGGGGGCCCCGGTCCATTGCAAGGACAACAGCCTGCTGTCCCCAGGTCATCGAGTTCCGAGCTGTTCCGACCACCTGCGGGTGCTCAGAGGCCGGAATAACAAGCAGCAGCTCTCATGGGTGCGTCGCCTCAACCTCCACCCTCGTGGCCTCCGATCCAGCCCCACGGCAGCCAGGCAGCTTCCTCAGTGGCAAATCCGGTCCTTAAGACCCTGTACCCTAGTTTGGGGGCTGGGGCAGCCTGGAGGAAAAAGGGCTTTTATTTTTGCCAGAAATCGCAGAGCCCCAGCCAGGGCACCTTTTATGCACCCAGAGGAGGCCAGCGGGATTCCGTCCTCAACTCAGGCCGTTCAGGGACCCTTTGGGGAAACTCCCTCTCGGTCAAGATGCCTTCAATGCAAAACACAGGGAACGATGACCCAGCTGCTTCAACAAGGCCATCAGTTATGACGAGAAACAAGAAGTCCTGAGGAGGGGAGTTTCCTGGGCTGGGTAACTCTGACATTAGCTGGGAAAGACCCTGGAAACTCCCCCCACTGCTCACTCTGCCCTCCTTATTGTCCTTATGGAGGCGGCTTTGCCCTCAGGAGGAGCCCCTCCAAGTCACAAGGCAGCTGCCGGGGCTCCGGACATCACATCTTCCCAACATTTTCTAACCTAGGCTTTTGACAACTCATGAACCCCTTTTCTGTATCACGTTTTTCAGTGTGTAAGACAAAACACATTCGACTGCAGAGGAAATCAATTCCACTGATATTGTCGACGTCCCGTTTGACTGGCGTGCTGATATACGCGCTTCTGATTAACGCATTGAATGACAGCCTCCAGTGGCGGGTGTAAGAGCCACTGTGATTTGATCTAAATGCTGCAATAATGCAAAACAGTCTGTCGGCGACAAAGCCACAGGCCCTGCTGGGGTTTGTCGCTCATGTTCCTGAAGGAGAGAAATGCTGACTTCTGCAAGTGACAAGGTGTGAGGGTTTCCTCCTCCAAGTTCACAGGCTCCAGACTTCCTCGGCTCCTGGTGGAGGACTGGTTTTGTAAATCAAAGGAGCCTGTCCTCAAGCCACCCAGCCCACCTTCCCTCCCTTCTCAGCCCCCCAAGCCACGCCCCCTAGAATGACCAGAAGGTCCAGTAATTCCACAGCTGGATTTCTACCCACAGGAGCTGACAGCAGGGACTCAGGAGGTGTGTGCACACCTGGGTCCCACTGCCGGTGCCCGAAGGCGGAGGCAACCCAGTTGCTCTGGGAGGGAGGGACGGAGAAGCAAAATTCGGTGGAGGCTGACGGCAGAGTGGCATCACCCTTAGGAGCAAGACAGGCCTCTCACACAGGCCGCAGCACGGAGGACCGTTGAGGACATTCAGTGAGTGACATACGCCAGTTACACCAGGACGAATACTACACCACAGTCCCATTTATATGCGGCCCCTACAGGAGTCGCATTCAGAGAGAGAAAGTAGAAAGGTGGGTGCCAAGGGTGGGGGGAGAGGCGGGTAAATGGGACCTCGTGGGCGAACCGGTGTGGCTGGAGTCGGTGACTCACGGAACCACCACCGCAGCGGTGGAGACAGCGGGGGCCCGGAACAGGACCCACAGCCAGCTCTCGGGGCCGGGAAGCTCGGACTCACACGCCCAGTCAGTTTGGACAACGGTGCCAGAGGAACGCAAGTCCACACGTGGTTGAGAAAACAGTCACCTGGAGGGGCAGTGAGGTGGGGCACAGCTCGGGGCTCTGGTCCTAGCCCACTCACCAACTTCTTTTCTGAGCTCAATTTTGTCATCTGTGAAATGGGCACAACACAGACTCCCTCGTGGGGGAAATGTCCTGAAAACCCTGACACGTCCGCTGGAGGGACTTGTCAGCGGAGGGGGGGTCTCGGCCAGCTGGCATTGAGCTGGGTGCAGGGAAGGGCAGTGAGTGTCCGGGAGGCGGAGCCCCGCAGGTCGGAGGGCACGGGAAGCCCCCAATGGTTGGAGTAGGAGAGGCAGCGGCCTGGGCCGATGGAGGAGGAGCAGACCAGTGAACGCACAGAGGGTGAGTCAGCATGGTGGCGGGGAGCCCCAGATTCTGAAGGTCACAAGGGCAGAGTGGGGCCCAGAGGATGTGCCTGGAAAGCAGTTTCTGTCTGGGGTGAAGAACTTTGGCACCATACGTGGGCCCGGCAGTGGGGAGCGGGAGCTGGGCCAAGATAGCCCTTGGGAGCCACAGCCTGCTGACATGGAGGCCACGCGGGGCTGGGCCCCACTGTCCCTGGCTGCCACCCCCCTCACACCCACCCCACGAGACTGTTGGAAAGGAAGGCAGCTGATGGGAAGAAGGGGGTGCAAGGCCCATAATGTCCCCAGAGGCCACTTCCCCCCGCCCAGCAACTGGGCCAGCCCCGGCAGGGCAGGGCAGGGGCTCGTAGGGGCCAGCGGTTGGCAGGGTTCCAGCCTGGTCTGTGGCCCAGTTATGGGATTTTCTGGTAAAACCAAAAGAGTAAAACCGTAACAGAGGGGCCCTTTAAAGCTGCTTCCCCCCACCCCACCCCCATCCACGCTCCAGGCTCTGAAAGCACCCGGTCTGGTGCTGGCCTGGAGGTTCCCCTTTCGTGCCCCAAGCACCAGGAGCCTAGCTGCAGCGCGTCCGGCGTTCAGGGTGCCTGCCCCCTGCCATCTGCCGGCCATCCAGCCCTGGGTCTCCGTCCACCCTGAGCGGCGGCTCTGAGAAGGGAAACGGGACTCAGAGAGGTGCAGTGACTTGCTCAGGGTTGCCCAGCCCATCAGGGTGAGGCCCGGTCCCAAACCCAGGTGCTGTGAGGAGACCCCAGGTCTGGTTCCCAGCGCCTCCCTTTCCCTCTGTTCCTGCGTGAGTGCTGTCCCAGGAGTCCTGCCACCAGCTCCACGGGTGAGTTTCCTGTGGCTGCCGTAACAAACGGCCACAAAGAAGTTGGATTCGAAGAAAACAAATTTACCTGTGAGCTCCCCGAGGCCTGAACCAGGCATCATGGAGTCTACAGGCCCCGTCCAGGACCTGGCTCCTGATGTTCCCCATGAGTGTGTGGTCAGGTGAGGGCCAGGGCTGGCTGGGCCGGCAGGAGCCAGCACGTGCTGTGAGACCCCATGCTCGCGGAAGTTCAAGAACAGTCCAGCTGGTCTGGTGGGGGCAGCAGCCAAGAGACCCCGGGGGAGGTCCTGGCCTAGGAGAGCACACTCGAGCGGGCTTTTGGGGGCTGGGAATATTCTGTACCAGCCCCAGAGATAAGAGCTTTAAATGCTCTGCAGCCAAATGAGTAAAAATAAACGAGGAACATCTATTTTAATCATGTATTTTATTTAACCCATTAATATGTCTAAAATATGGTCATTTCAACTTGTAGTGAACTTATAAATTATTGAAAAATTTTAGGTTCTTCTCCCCCCACCCCTGAACTAAACGGAGTCCCCCACTGGAGGGGTCCCCACGGGATGACATTTGGGTCAGGACACACACCTCAACACACACAGAGTTGTATGGAAGCTCTGTGCACTTCGGGTGTGTTAAGCCTTAATTTAAAAAAAAAAAAAAAAAACACCTGAAAGAAAAACATTCTCCTTGTCAGTGACCGAGTCCTAGAGTCTGGGCAGGGCCTTCAGTGACCTGGGGGCAGGGCTCAAGGTGCAGAGTGACTGGGACCAGAGCCCCCTGCTTGCCAGCTACGGGGTGGGCTCTCCGGCAAGGGCGGGGGATGGCTGTCCCCCCAGACTGCATTCCAGAGGCTGTGATTCCACCCAGTCCGGCCCCTTATCTCCGAGCACAGCCGGCCTATTGTCTCGGGAAGGAAGGGAAGCCGAGAGGACTGGAGGCCTCTCTGCAAAGGCTGCCCTGCCCAGCCTTGCCCAAGGCGCCCCCCCTTTTCTGTCCCCTACCCGCCCTCTCCAGCCTCGTGAATGTCTCAGTCTCTAGACCCAGACAAACACGGGGCCCCAGAAACACCCGGCACCCCTCCCAGGCAAGGTTCTACTGGGAGACGTGTAGGAGAAACGTTGTGTTGTGTTAAAGCGAAAGGAAGCGCATCAGTAAGCGGGCAGTAAAATGCACCCTCAGCAGATAAAGCAAGAAACGAGGAATATCTCTTCCTGCCTCTTCCCGTCCTTTCCTTTCCCTTCCAGAAGGACTGAGTCCTCCTAAAGCCATTAGAGATCCAGGCACAGGGTGGGGGAGCCAGGGTGCCTGCTGGAGGAAGTGGGATGTGCAGGCGTGGGGTGGTGGGCTCGGGGAGGCGAGGCAGGAGGGGGTGGGGGGCGTGTCCAGGCAGTAGCAGGAAGGGGCCACACCCAGGAGGAGTGAGGAGGCAGTGGCGCTGTGAACCCGGTGCTCGCGGTGCTCGCTGGGGACTGAGATAACGAGCAGGCACCTTCGGACGGGGCAGCCAGGTTGCCGCTGGCAGAGAAGGGTGTTACTACACAGCGTGGAAGGGAGAGGGCAGGAGTGAATGCTGTGAGCTCAGCGTCCACAGCACAGACGCAGGACTCTGGGTGGATACAAAGGACACTCCAGTGGGGGCATGTCTCCTAGACCTGGGTGGGCAAACGCACGGTCCTCCTCCTGTCTGGCAACCATCAGTTTGTGCTCTGTACGATTGAGTTTGTTTCCATTGCATTTGTTCATTTATTTTGTTTTTTAGATTCCACCCGTGAGTGAAATTGTAAGGGACTTGACTTTCTCCGATTCGTTTCCCTCAGCAGAAGACCCGCTGGGTCCATGCATGCTGTTGCAAATGGTGAGATGTCGCTCCTTTTTCCTGCTGAGTCGTGTTGTTGTACAATGTGTACGTATCACATCTCCTGGTCCCATCCATTCACCATGGACACCCAGGCTGGTCCCGCAACTCAGCTGCTGTGAATGATGCCGCAGTGAACATAGGCTGCCTACATGTTTCTGATGAGTTTTCACTGTCTTCAGATAAATCCCCAGAAGTGAAATTGTCGGGTCTGGGTCCTGGGGTAGAACCATCTTTAAATTTTTGAGGCACCTCCACAGCAGCTGCCTTAATTTACATTCCCACCGACAGTGTGCCAGGGTTCCCCTTTCTCCATGTCCTCGCCAACGCTTGTTCTTTCTTGTCTTTTTCCTGATCGCCCTTCTGACTAGTGCGAGGCGGTATCTCATCCCGGTTTTGATTTGCATTTCCCTGCGGATTAGGGGTGGTGATCATCTTTTCATGTGCTTGGTGGCCATCTGTTTGTCCTCTCAGGAGACATGTGTACTCAGGTCCTCTTTCGGAAACTTCTGTTTGCCTTGCCTTTTACTTCCAATCGAGGGCTCAGATTTGCTGAAGGTATAGGTTAACTTCTATCTGATACCAAAGATAACACCAAAGGCTACTACTCTTCAATGTCCCAGAGGACATTAGTCTGATTTTTGAAAACTGAATTTAAGAATCTTATATTAGCATTTTATTTTTTTAAATCTATTGATTTGAGAAAGAGAAACATCAGTTTGTTGTTCTACTTACTTATGCATCCATTGGTTGATTTCTGTATGCGCCCTGATCACGAATCGAACCCACAACCTTGGCGTATGGGGGGTGAGGGATGATGCTTTAACCAAGTGAGCTTCCTGGCCGGGGGACTCTAGTGTCTGTAAACGGTCTGTATAAATCCCAGTTCCACAAATGCTTTTTGCAGCAATTTTACCAAGATACTGTTCCCTCTTTACTTAGTGAGCTGGATCAAATCATTGACAAATGTTCATCCTCTAATTTTTCCAGTAAGCTTCGAAATGGATCTTCTCGGGACTCTTGCTGGAGAGGACTCCTAGGCCAGGTCGAGTCCAGCCCCGCCCAGCTTGCGTGGCAACGCGTTTCCAGCGCCACCTGGTGGCCTCCAGGTGCCCACGCAGCCTAATCGGGAGGTGAGAGGAAGCGCGGGGCTGTTCTGCGACTGCGGGATCCAGGGCGGTGGCGTCTCCGCCTCTGCACTTAGGAGGAAACGAGCCACCTCTTTTGTCTTTGTAGTCGTGGATGACTTCCCTAAGGAGGGCAAGATGGAGCTGGGCCATGCAGGACACATTAATTCGTCTTCTCAGTCCCGCACCCTGGCGTGCAGAAGCCAGAGCCTGGTCCTGCCCTGAAGTAAGGGGACAGCGGGCGGCTCGCCGTTAACTCCAGCAAGCCTCATTCTTAGGGTCGTTATGCCCATTTTTTTCACTGGAAAACTGAGGCTCAGTTCTTAGAATATCGGCACCGCCGCCCTGGTCTAGTGCTTGACCAGTCACGCTATCCTACCCCCCCACCCCCACCCCACGACAATGCCTAGCCTGCCACCGGGGAGTTTATGATCATCTTTGAAGACCTGCTTATTGAAAGATTCCCTTTATTTAGAGGAAAGGAATTAGTCCCGGAGAGGGCCTGACCCACCAGCTGAGTCACTCAGGATGTCCAGATGGGCCAACTCTGCTCGCTCAGCCACCTGCCAAACGCCTGGGCCCCGGGATTGAAAACAGAACCGGCCTCCACTCCGCCCCAGATCCTTCCAGTCTGCCTCACCCTCTCTCTAGGCCGGGAGGGTGGGGGGGAAATCCCCGCCTCCATCCCGCCATGTTTACAGCTCCCTCTCTTTCTCCTCCCTAAACCCTCAGGCTGCACACCCGTCGTCAACAATCGCCCTCAAACCCCAGCTGGTGGCAGCAGGAGCCTGGACAGAGTGGGGAACACCGAAGGTGGGCGTGGCGTGAGGCTTGCGAGAGCTTGGGGGTGGAGCCTTTGCAAGGGCCACGCCCCTCCCCACCCTCTTGGAGCCTTTTTCCTAGTCAACCCCAGTTCCCAAGAATTCCGCTGAGTCACTTCCGAAGCTGCAGCTGCAACCAAAGTGAGAACAGTAAGTGTCATTCAATTCTCTGAGCCGCGGCCCAGCACCGACCTGGGACACCCGACCACTGTCTGTCTCAACGCCTCCTCACGGGCCAGCGAGGCCACCCCCTACCCATTCCCTGCCGTTCTCCCCACAGCCACTCCCTCCCGCCTCTTGACTGTTCACTAGCCACGCCTTCTGCCTGGCATTTCCCCGCCCCCTAACCCTCAGCACCAGCAGCCTCAGCGTCCTCCCCACCGGCTCTGCCAAGGCCTCTGCTCCATGGGGATGTATCAGAGGGTATCTGCGAGCCTGACCTGCAGACGCTCGGATGGGCACTTAAATTAGCAGAGATGTCCCGGTACAAACAGCAACCCGGGGCGCTGCTTGCTTCCTGGTACGAGTGGACAGGTGCGCGCGCTGCGTCCGTGTATCTGTGTGTGAGGCTGCGGTGCACAGCGTGGGGACAGGCGTGCCTAGCGCGCACCCTGCGCATTCCCTGCTGGCCTGGACGCCGGTCTTGGACCCATTGTCTCTCATCTCCATGCCCACCCTTCGCAGGGAGGCCCCAAACTACAATTCCCAGAACCCCTGGTGGCTCCGGAATTCCTGCGGGACTCAGCCAGTAGGGGGCGCCGGGGCTCTTAACCTTTCGGGTGCGGTGGGCTGATGTGGACCGTTTAGCAAGTAATGATACTTCGGGACGTCGACTAAGAATGATTTTTTTAAGCCTTAAAGTTGTGTTCTGTTTGCATCTTTAACTTTTTAAATTCTGGTAAAATACACAACATAAGATCTGCCACCGTAACCACTTTCAACTGCAGGGCTTTGGCGCTTTCGCGCTGTTGTGAAATAGCGGAGCGGACCTTTCTCATCTTGAGAATGTGAAACTCCGCATCCCCTTTAAATTCCCCTTTTCCCCTCCCCCAGTAGCCACCCTTCTCCTTTCTGTTTCTAGGAGTTTGAGCACTGTAGCCAGTTCATTCAGTGGAATCACACAGTATTTGTCCTTTTGTGTGGCTTGTTCATTTAGCCAATGTCCTCAAGGTTCATCCCTGTTGTAGTCGGAATTTCCTTTCCTTCAAAGGGGGAGTTGTATTCCGTTGTATGTATAGGCTACAATTTGTTTATCCACTCATGGATCAGGCAGAATCGCGCTTTTATTTTTGTTTTTTGGGTTCTTTTTAATAAGAGAAAATTTATTTAGTCACAGAGAAGAAATGGGCTCAGGAAACCAGTTACAGAGGCATAAGGAAGATCCTTGGAGCGTAGGAGAAGGACACAGGCGGGAAACCCGAGCCTTGGGGGAGAGGGCAGGGAAAAGCGCCAGGCAAGCTTGTGCTACTAGACAGTGCTGCACCCAGAATCAGGCTTTTAAAAGCGTGAAATAAAGTGCACAGGCGTACAAAGGAAACTTTACAATTTGATTCGGGTTGTCAACAAGTTCAAAGAACAACATACGAGGCAGTAACATAGATGCATTTCTCTACGAATGCATGAAATTACATTCATCTCATGCCTAGAAACTCCAGCCTGCTTCCAGACAGCTCTCTGTCCACCAGACCTGGAGATTTCTGGTTACACAGTTCAAGTGAAGCTTCGGTAAGTGGCCCAACTACTTCCTTCCCCCGCCCTGGCCTGGAAACTCAGATGGAGTGCTGTCCCCATCTGGCAAGGGTTCAGGTTGAACTTCTGGTCGGGACACATATAGAAGGCAACCGATGAATGCATAAATAAGTAGAATGACGAGTCAATGTTTCTCTCTGTCTCTCTAAAGTCAATAAATACAAATTTTCAAAGATTCCTACAGGTCAGAACTTTCTGGAAACAGCCCCATCTCTGTGTAATTTGCCCATCTTGTCTCCAGTGCGTAAGGACTGCTGCGTAAGGCAACCCACTTGGGCTGCCCTCAGCCCTTGAAGACCAGGAGCTGTCCTCAGCCACAGAGGACAGCCACCCAGAGCCCAGGAACCATGGCACTGCCTCACTGATACATTTCCCAAAGGCCTGCAGGTCACCCGTGACAAATCACACCCTTTGAATCCTTCCTCCCCGTTGTGCCAGGGAAGTTCTGGCCTGGCTGCCTCGCGGAATGTAGGCCACTGATGGGCTGAAACCTCAGTCTACAGGCCAAGCCACCTGTTGGAGGCGCAGCAGCCGCACAGCTGACTGTCTGGGAAGCGGCCACACCTGGAAACCCGGCCCAGTGCAGTGTCATAATTCACCTGGTTTCCTGTTGCTGGGAATTAGCAACATTTGCCTTTTGTTCTGGAGTATGAACTGTTTCCTTCAGGGTCAACCTCGCCCTCCCAGCCCTAGGGCGTGCTGGAATCGGACCCCAGTTCTGGAGCGGAAGGCCCCAAGGGGCGGAGCCTGCAAGAGGGCCCCTCAGGCCAGGGTGTTACTGGGGAAGAATCCAGTCCTAACATACCAGAAGGAGGGGCCTGCTCCCGCCAGCCCCGGGGATGCATCATCCGGATTCTCAGGGAGAGAAACGTCCCCACCAACAGGGTACTGGGACGCTGCAGTGCAGGCCATTTGGTGGCTGGGTGACAGCTGGGCCCTGGGACATGAAAGGACACCCTGCTTGCCTGATGTTTTCCCACAGCCACTTCTTGTCCAGCAAGGCACGGGTGGAACCGGGCCTCGGGGAGTAAGGGAGGGAGATGGGGTGCCTGTGGCGGCTGGCTGCACAGGGATGAACCTGGCTAGCCCGACTGTCTGAGAGGAGATGGCACAGGTCCACCTTGCCAGGGATGTGAATGCCCCCCCCAGAGGGCCCCGGAAAGGAGCAGTGTCTTCCGGCAGGTCCTGCCCCCCCCTTCTCAGGGCCTCCACACCCCTTCCTTACTCTCACAGCCTCCCCTTCATTTGGGCCGCTCACACTCCCTCCAAAGCCTCTGTTGTACCCACCCCACCCCCAGAAGCCTGTCAGTCTGTCTTGCTCACACATCCCCCTGACCTTGCCCTTCTCCGCTGGGTCACCTTGGCCTACTCACTTAACCTTGCTGCATTTGGAGATCTGCATTCCCGGGGGGGGGAGGGCTTTCACCAGAGAGCCTGTGGGCGCTCAGAAGTAATGGGAGGAAACCAGCCTGCCCTCCTTTTGCTTTCTTTTCCCCCTTCCCTCTCCCTTCCTGGATGCCCTTTGTTAACCCCACACCCCCTCCATTCCCACCTGCTGGCTCCAGGTGGGTTGCCCTCAGCCCTCTGAAGCTCTCTGGGTTCTGCACCCCCAACAGCATGCCCCCCACTCCCCAGGGCAGGGTTCCAGGCCTCAGTGGTTGACACCCACCTTCCCAGTCTGTGCTTGCCACCTACGATGGATCCGGCCACTTGGAATCGGAGGCCGGGTGACTTGCCGGCTTGTGTCCCACTGAGCACGCTGGCCTAGAGCCTCACCTGGAGTGACCCAGGCTGCAGGGACAGGGCGGTCAGGACAGGACGGGCAGGGCATAGGGCTGGCTGGCCCCATTTGTCAGAAACACAAGCCTTCCCGGCCAGGCCAGGCCATTGGCCTCAGGGAACTATGGGCAGAGACCTTCCCACCCTAATCCCGCACCCAGCACCGACACCCTGTCCCCGGGGGGCTGAGGAAGAGGGGAGGCCCCCAGCGGACCCCTGTGCTGAGCTCCCAGGGCTCACGTGCCCCCAAGGAATTACCGCTGCCTGGACCGAAGAACCCAGGGTCACAGTGGCGGATCCCTGGGGGCAACCCCCAGTGCTGGTCTCCCCCACCCTACCCCTTTTTGAAAAGTGTGAAATGCACAGAAAAATACAGACAGGAACATGATGCACCTCCAGGTGTAGTAATAATTTCACCACATTCCCTTCGGCTTCGTTTTCTGAAACCTGGGCTGCCAGGCCCCACAGGCTCCTGCACTTCTCCTTCTCCGGGTGGCTTTGCCCCTCCCTCTGCGGCTGCTCGGCCCCTTCCCATCTGCCTTTGGGTGGCCTTTGTGTACCCATGAGGCCCTCTCCGAACAACATACAAGTGCCCTGCGTGTGCGCGCTTACTTTTGCAGTTCTGGCTGGACACAAGTCCCTTACAGTTAAGGTCACCAGCTTTGAGTGGCCGGCCTTGCAGCCACTACCCTCATGGTCACAGAAAATCCCCCTGGGCTCCCCTTGCCCCCCCCCCAACCACCACCAGGGGATACTGGCCCCAGAAGCGGGCCGTGCGTGTCAGTGGGTCCTACACCAGCTGAAGGTGTTTGCATCCAGGGCTCCCAAGGGTCACCCACGGACTGGAGACTGTCCGCTCCCGTTCCTTCCCCTGCTCTGAATTCTGCCTACATTCCTTCGACCTGCCCCTGCAGACCGGCATCTGGGGCGTTCATCCCCGGCGTGTCCTTACATTTCACAGCCCGCACATGGCTCCCCTTGCACTTTTCTCCCCAGGGGACATCGATGAGATTTCTCTGAGCAGCAGCCTCGGCCTCTCTGGCAGGTCACCCCTCTTGGGCGAGGCGCCGGCTCCCGGCTCAGCCCGCCCCACCCGCGCCTTAGCCCGCTGTCCGGCGGCTTCAGGGTTAAAGCGCCGCGGGCCGGCGTGCGAAGGGTGGGAGGCCGTCCGCCGCGGGTCCCCAACCTGGGGATCCCCCAGGGCCAGGTACCGGGGCTTCTCCGAGGGCGCCCCCGGCCGGCATCCACACCCAGGCCAGGCCCCACGCCCCACCCCCGGGCCCCGCAGCCCCCCGGAGAAGCCAGTGTTTCGAAAGGCCCGGCCACCCCTGGGACCCCTCCCCCGGCCGCTCCGCAAACGGGAAGCTCAGGGAGGAAACCGCGCAGCGCGCCGGGCAGCCTGCGGGCCGATGACTAAGTTCGGCTCCGCGACCTGCCACCTTTGCCTTTTATGGCGGCCTCGTGGGCAGCGGACGTGGCTGCGAGGGGCGGCAGAGACTGCGGGCGGGGGGCTGGGAGCGAGCGCCCCGCCCCGGGGCTCGCGGCGCGGGCGCTCGTGCCCCCCCGCCGGGCGCCTCAGCACCCACCCTCAGCCGGCCTGGTCCGGCCTCTCCTGACTTTACGGAGAGGGAAACTGAGGCCCGGAGACGTACAGGGCGCAGACTATGAAGGTCACACACATCGCAGGGTGGAGCCAGATGACACCCAAAGGCCCGGTTTCCCAGCCCAGGGCCAAGATACAGATGACTCACGCTCCCTGGGGTGGGGAGGGAGGGGCAGCTGCATTTATTGAGCACCCACTGTTTGTCTCCAGGTACCCATCATTCCTCTTCCTCACAGCAGTCTGGAGAGAGGACGGCCTGAGCCCCAGACGCGGGCTCTCCTGGGAGGGGTGCCCGGGTGGGTGGGGCGGTGCCGGCCGGAAGCAGCTACGCCCCCCTCCCCTCTCCTTCCCTCGAACCCGTGCCGGGCCTAGGCGCTTCCCCTCCTTTGTATTCGCACAAACTCGGGGCATGAAAATCATCTCCCCGTTTACCAGGTGGGCAAAGTGAGGCTGTGAGCAAAGTGACTGGACCCAAGGTCACAGGCGAGCTGGGCGGCATTGCTAGGGGCCCGACTGTTTCATGCCTGGGAGGGAGTGCCCGGGTCCCGGAGCTTTTAACGTGCTTGTGCATCCCACGCAAAGTTAGGATCGCCATGCATCTACCAGGAGCTGCGTGGCAGTGTGACGCCCTGGGCATGTTTGCAGTTCCCAGATATTCTTCAGTGCCCACCCTCCCCTCGCCCCCAGCCCAGGCCGGCACCGGCCCGGGCCCTACTCCGCTGTGGGTCTCAGTTTGCTCAAATACAAATTGCGGACCGCGTGGAGGTTTACTGGGACGCGGTACACAGCAGGGGCTTGGGGCAGTCCCTAGGTCTGGGACACAGAGGGGGAGGGGCGAGGCCGGGATTTAGAAAAACCGGAGGCTGGGCCCCCAGGCCGACGCCGGGCCCTGGGCGGGGGGAGGGGGCAAGGCCCGGGAGGCCCAGGCAAACCTCCTCTGCGGGCCCTACGTCCCCTCCAGGGGCGCTCCCAAACCTCGCCTTTTATGGAGAGGAAGTTGGGCCAAGTGGGCTGGGCTGCAGGAGGGGCGGGGTGGGGGCGGCTGGGGCATGTGAGAAGCTCTGACCCGGAGCAGCCCGCGCAGGACGTGAACAAGAGGTGGCCAGTTTATCTCCGGGATGGGCCACGTAAGCCCTTCGGGCCTGGGAGCACCAGATAATAACCACCCCGCCCCACCCCCCAGCTCTGCCCGGGCCCGAGGGGGCGAGATCTGGACCCTGAGCAAGTCAGCTGAGCCCAGCTGGAAGGCTGATCTGGAAGTGGGTCTGAACAGGCCCACCTTGGCGCCCCCCTCTCCCCCCGCAATGACCTGTCTGAGTTGTCCAGATGGGTCTCTGGTTTGCCCAGACCTAGACCCCTCCCAGCACCTGGGAGAGCCTTCTGGTGTCTCTGGCCTGGGGCCCAGTGTCCCCTCCCACACCCTCAGCTGCCCCCACCTGTGGCCCTGGTGGAGCCCAGGCGGAGGACCGTGAGTGGCTGTGGGTTTCTGAGAACCCAGTGTTTTGCCCCACCGGGGGTCCGCTGTCCAGCTGGGATCCGGGGAGTCCAGTCCGAGGTCCCTGGGCCCCCTCATGCACGTGGAACACTGAGGCCCAGGTGGTGGGGCAGAGCCTGGGTGTGCAGAGGTCCTGCACTTCCGTTGCGAGGCTGGGGGACTCTGGCCGGCCTGAGAGCCGGCAGTCAGTAGGGGTGCGGCCTGAGGGCTCTTCTGGGCCAGCTCCTCTGCAAATGCGGTGACACCGACTGGCCTCCCCCAGTGGGGTGCTCTGAAAGGTCAGCCTCTTCTCTCACCTGTGACCACACCTGCTCAGGCCCCTACCCTCAGGCTGTGGGAGGGGGAGCGTGGGGGTCAGCGCACTCAGCTGCTGAGCTAGGCTGGAATGCGGCCCCGCCCGTGTGCCCTCCGGTCACCGTGGCTGTCCCCAGAAGTCTAGATAATGCCTGCAGGTGGCTCCTCATGATGGGGAGAGGCCAGACTACAGCCCTGGTTCTTTGCCCTTTGTCCTCTGTCCTCTGCTCAGGGGGCTCCTGGGCCAGGAAGTTTAGCTCACCCGCTTCCCTTCCTCCTTGCGCCACCCCCGTCGTCCCCGAAGCCCACCGTGGGTGGTTCCCCAGAGAGGCCCCCCCTGCCCTCAGCTCCCCTGGGAGCAGAGCTGCAGTCGCCACTCAGGCAGCCATCTTCCGGCCTGGGAGCCATGTGGGGGCGCTTTCTGGCCCAGCACACAACTGTTCTGTCCTCCCTGCACCCGGTTCTCACCCCGTTCTACATACAGGGGAGAGAGCAGGCCCTTCCGGGCAGAGCGTCTTCCCCAGAGTCACAGGGGTGGCAGACCTGCCCCGACTCCCCATCTTCCCACAGGGTGTGTGTGTGTGACCTTGGGCATGTTCCCCCACTCTTCTGAGCCTGGCCTGTGATTTCGGGGACCTTCACGGGGCAACTGATGGGCAGTGAGAGGGGGCCTGGCTGCTGGAGGCCCACAGGTGAGCGCCCCCTCCAAGTGAGCGCAGCCCACGCCCAGCTTTGGCCTCAGGGCCCTGCAAAGCTGAAGCTGCGCTATGAGAGCGGCCCTGCCTGCTTCTCAGGAGACCACGAGGACTAAATCAAA